GACATGAGTAAATTGAAGGGGCATGGTGTGTCTGTGGGTATCCGATGTGAGGAAAAGTTTAAAACTCAGATTGGAACCGATTATTTCGTTACTAAAGATCGATAAAATTGATCAAATAGCAGTAACAAATCAAATGGATTAGAAAAATAAATCTGCAAATCAGAGAAAAAAAACAGCTGACAAAATTGAAATATAATTAGATTGGAACGAGGCTGATTTATTCGATTTTTAACAACGGAATAAGCGATTTTATTCTAATTTTAAATTCTTTTACACAGCATTTATATTATCTTCATCGAGAAGCTCACGCTCACCCTCACCTTCACCCACGCCCTCACCCTCATTCTCATTTTCAACATTATGTTAACTCTTCCACTCTAATTGATACATGCCTTGATTAATTTTGGTGATCAAAACACTCATTTTTTTGTGATCATTTCGCAGATAAAAAATTTGGTGATTAAAACTCAACTTTTTGGTGATCAAAAAAATGCTGACCCTTATTTTATTCATTGAGATTAAATACCAAAACAACCGATATTCTTTATGTTTTGTATTCTTAAATATTAATTAATGTGCAATTATTATCCCTAACTGATCTTGCTAATATAGACAAATGTGTAAAAAAGAATGAATTCTTTGAAGACATTTTCCCTTTAAAATTGACTATTGTTTTTGCATCATCATCAAAGAGCTAACACGTATTGTATCAAAATGTTTTGCTTGATGATACATGAAGGATAAAGAAAAACAAATAACATCGTGAGAAGTAAATTTCTAACTGGTGAGAAACTAGTTGAAGTATATATATCTCGAAAACTCTTTTAGCCGCCAAAACTTATTATCTTTCTTATTTCTTTGATAAACTGTAGTTAGTCACTCAGTAATCAAAGATCAAGATTTATTCTCGAATGATCATGCTTCAATATTCTTTATTCGACTTCTTTGTGCTTATGCGTAAATTTCAATTCTAGATAATCCTAATTTTCTTTTAACAATGCATTTAAAATTTTGTTTTCATTCTTGACATCAATCAATGTCCATAAGTTTCAAGTGGAAACAATGCTTTTGATGAATTATTTCAATAGTTAAAGATTTTATAAGTTAGAAATTATAGCAACTTCATCGATGATGTGTGTTCATCAATATAATATGATTAGTCATAATAATCAATAAATAAATATCATAATTAAATAACAGAACAATCAAAAATCTATTGAAAAAGAAAACATTTCAATTTTCAGGTATCTATATATATATATATCATATTTACGATAGAAGATAATATCAAACTGAATATATATTAATAGAGATGTTTCTATTAAATATTTATGTTAATATTCAAGTATTAAAAATTTAATAGCTCTTTAATTAGTTCATTTCTCTAACAATATTTCTATGTGATTGAATCTTAATATCATCATCGAAAATGAAATTTAGTTGAGAAATTGTAATGTATCATTAGATATGGTTGTTGTATGAATATCTAAAACATATGATACTAAATCATGGCTTAGAGTATCATCAATGCGTGTTTCTCAATAATATCGAATATTTGAAATTGTTTTTCTCTTAGACATAAAACTAGCGAACTGTAAGTTTACATTTTTAAGACATTCAAGATGGTTGGATCCAAAAACTGCTTCGTTTGTTTTTTTACTAATATGTGTCAGCCTGTTTAGTTGTTATTAAATAACAGAATAATATTTCGTCTATTGATTGGTTACTCTCAAGGAAAAGAATTATCTAATGTTATTTATAAACTATTATTCTTTCTTTTTCTACTCTTCTTGTCTTTATTGTTATCTGTCTCGTACTCGTTTTTTTTATTTAGTTTTCATTGGAACAAAAGTGGTGTGATATGGCATACATGAATTACAAGAAGAAAAATGTATTGTCTTCATTCCTTCTTCTTATCGTTTTTGAAACGTATTTTTTGTTTATAAAAAAGATATGAAGAATATCATTGAAAATGAAGAATAAAAATAAAAATAAAGAGTTAATACAAATTGTTTTTTAGTAATACACTATGGAAATATATTTCACAATAGAAGATTGATAATATTTAAGGCATTGATTAATATACTATACGTATATTTTCGACTTCATTTTGTTATATAAAACTTTTTAAAATTATCTTTGTTTTTTATTCATTCAAGAAGTAACAAAAAAAAACTAGTAATTAGAAATAAACACTACAGGCTAGTTTTAAACTTTTTGTATTGCAGACTCGAGTTAGCCAAGTCTAAGATCTAAAGTATACATGAATATCAGAATAGAAGCTTCTTATATGAGATAATCCTTGAAGAATAGCTAGAAAGATCTTTAGACGTCGATGGTCATTTGAATTATACATTGAAGTCTGTTCAAGAGTTCTTTTTAATTGAATCATAATCATTGAGTCTCATATTAGTATTATTATTAAAACACACATATTACGAGAATATTGATCTATTTATATTTTAGTGGTAGTTAAAATCTAAGGATATGAATTAAATACAACTAAAGTTTGTATTTACTAAATGATTTTACTTCATGTTCAAAACGTTCATACACCTTTTTCATTATTCGAAACCTAAGAGTTATGTGTTTTGTGCTTTTAATGTTGTCAGTGAAAAAAAAGAAAACTTATAATTAATACGAAAAGTTGTTCGTCTGATGATATTTAGAAGATTATGTTTTCGAAAGCAGCTTTGCTCATGGATCGAACGAATTAAGAATAAGACTTACGAACTATCTACCAAGAAAAATATCTCATTCTTCACAATTTCAATTATGTAAATATTTAACATTGAGTTGATCGAAATTTTCACACATCAAAAGTCGACGGTTTACATATAAGGATTTAATTAAGATATAAACAGTTTTATTTCAGAATCAAAGATCAATAGAAAAGTATTCATGAACTACCGGTAAAAAACCCATATATTAATATAATCACTTGAACTTCAACAATAAATAGAAATCAAGATATTTCTTAAAGTTTTGTTGTGTTAGTGATAACACTATTATTCATCATTGATTTTGCCAATCGATATTCATCCGATGCTATCCATGAACCATTAACACATTTTGTCGATGATATTTTAACAGAGATTGGTCCATAAATATTAGCTACTAGTTTTTCTGGTTCTGCTGGACACCATACTTTAATTCCACTAAATAGACATTCTTGTAATGGAAATGTCCATTCTTGTGGCGATGATTTCCAATTATAATATTCATTATATTGAGTAAGGATTAGTTTA